ATGTTTTGTCTCTCTGTAATGCTACTCTCATTTAAATTGATATGTTGTAACTAATGTCTGTTTCAAGGGCATGCTTCCTACTATCCAAATATAATGTAGGCACCTAAAGTTTTCAACATTTCAGGCTATGCTTTTTCTTTTATAATTTAATTATGTATGCAGTTAATAGCTATGGGGTGTCTGGATGATACTGTTACAAGTATTATCTGTTTCTTTTTCATAAAACGTATTGATCACTGTGGTTTATTTTGGTATAGTCCTTACTTTTTTTTTCTGCACAAACAATTGGCTGAAGGTTTTTACCAAAAATAGGGACAGATGGACATTTTCAAATGGATTTCTGAATTGCTCGGGAAACCTAAGATTGTGGCTTCTAAAAGAATTTTCCTGTATAGAAAGCAGGCACTTAAGGCTTAATATTTTTCCTTTTAGATATATTTCATGTATTCACCAAAGTTCTACTTTTGTACTAAAGCCAATCTTACAGCGTCAGAGCTGCTAAAAGTAGTTACATTTCTGTATGAGCTTTTCTTAACAGGTCATGTCTGTGGTTTTTGGCAGCTCCATTTTTGTGTGTGCATGTGTGTTCTTTTTAATCTTTCAGGTTTATCCATTAAACATGGTATATTGGCACTAACCATTTAGTGCTTTATTTTTCCTTTTCTTTTTCTATCCAAAGATGAACTCTGATATGGCATCAATTTCAACACAAGTTAATTTGCAGCCCATATATAGCCAGTGACTTTAAAAAAATCACATAATCTAGTCATTCACTGTATTCTAATACTGACCTGGGAATTGTTGCTTCACAACAATATATTCTGTTTTTCTGGGTAATACATGGATTTGTTAGGTGAAATATTATAATTCCATCACAAAAAATGAGGAAGTGTCACTGTCCTTTTAAGTCACTTACTTTGAAACGAAAGAAATATTTCCTCTACGATATTTCACCCAGGTAAAATCTTCCCTTTTCCATTCTACTGCAAAATCTCAGTAGAATCTAAGACAAACTACAATTCTCCCCAAACAAAGTAAAACACCCTCCTTAATCTGTTAGTTCAAGGGGATCAGTCTTAGCCATTTTGATCAGACCAAAGTTCACTGCATAAGCTCTATATCAATATTACAGTTAGGATTATAAATTCAGGTCATTGAAGGCTCCCCAGCTAGGGCAGGGAATCACTTTACATGTCCAGAAGACTTATAGTCGTTGCCTCTGATGACTCTCTCCATGATTTCTCTCTGAATCATACAACATTGCTAGATTATGTTTCCAAAAATGGAAAGTGATGCTGCAAAAATCTCAGTAGATACTCTGTCCCTTAGATTTTCACTACAATGCTGCTTCTTTACTGCTAGATTGGGACTGGGGTGAAGGGAGGATTAAGGAATAGCTAAGGAGAAATAGTGTTGAGTGTTGCAGAAATAAGTTCTCAGTAGTTTGGGAGGAAGGAGGGCTAAAATTTGGGATAAGTCTTGGGAAGTGTCTGTGAAAAAAGAAAGGAATAGAGGGGAAAAAATCAGAAAACTGAAACTACTGTTTATTTAGATATAGGTTGGGCATATATTTGACACTTCTGTTAATCCTTTTCCTTCTCTCTTTTTTTTCTGTCTCTCTAAGTCATGGAGGGCTCACCTCTAGTTACTCTGAAGGATATTAACTCATATTGGTTACTCCAGCTTTGTTTAGATATTCCATCTCCTGACTCTGGTCATTTTTATTGGCTGTCCTTCGTGCCTGGAATTTTCTTCATCTCTTCTTCCTTGCCTCCTTCAAGTCCCAGTTACAATCCTACTTTCTAGGAAGCCTTTCTCAGTCCCTATTAATGCTATTGCCTTTCCTCTGAGTGCATCTCCAATCTATCCTTTATGTATCTTGTTTGTATACAGTTATTTGTATGTTGTGTATCCCATTAGACTGTAAGCTCCTTGAGGGCAGGGACTGTTGCCTTTTTTGTATCCCTAGTGCTTGGCACATACTAGACCCTTAATAAAAGCTTCTTAACTGATTGACTATGTATGTATCTGTATCTATACGTGGAAAGATGGAAATTTCTGTTCTTTGTGTATATATATATATATATATCTACTACATATGTATTCCAAATAAACATTTGTGTGTATGTAAGTATATAATATGGCTTTATATGTATATACACATAGATCTAAAGCTGGAAGCGCCTTCAGAAATCATGTATATATATGTATGTGCTTACGTACTATATAAGTAATATACATGCCTCTCCTTCAGTTTTCTCATATATAAAATGAGGAAGTTAGACTAGATTACCTTTGAAGTCTTTTCTAGCTCTAAATCTGTGATTCTATGACTCTTAATGAAATATAGACAAAATATGAAAATAACTGGAAGAGTAATAATCATGACAAAAATTCATTAAGCACCTCTGCAGAGAACTACTTTGGCAGAAGCATAGAATATGTGGAGGAGAGTAGCATGAGATCAGGCTAGGGTCCAGAAGAAGGGGGTCAGACCAAAAGGAATTTAAACTTGTTAGGCAATATGGATAAGAGCACTTGAAGGGTTTTGAGCAGAGGTGTGATATGGCTGTATCTATGCATAATCAAACAGTCAATCAACAAACATTTAATTAAGCTCTTGGCAACAGTGTAAAGTATGGTTTGGGGAGAGAGGGTGAATATAGATTAAAGACCTGTTCAGACCATATTATGGTAGTTCAGGCAGGGAGAAGAGCCCAGTATCACAGAGTTAGAATTAAAAGGACATTGTGACTCATTGGATTTGAGAGATGAAGGAAAGGGAAGAGTTAAAGGTAGCACTGAAATTTCAAATGTGGAAGGTACTATAGCTGGAAGGCATTTAAACAACCATATGCATACAAGATATATACAGAACATGTAGAAGGTTATGTCAGCAGGCCTACACAAACTGCAGTTGGCTGGCAAAAAATGTAGAGGATGTTTTCCAGTACCTTTTTTGTGGGCTACTGGACCTGAGGGCCATAAGCAGTGCAGGCTGCAGGTTGTGCAGGCCTGCTCTAGTGGGAGGTGGACCAGCAAAGGCCTCCTCCAGAAGTTGGTATTTGAACTCCATCATCAAGGAATACAGGGGAACTTAAAGGCAGAGGGGAGAAGGGAGAGTGTTCCATGCATGGGAGACAGCCAGCTCCAAGTCATCAAGAAGGGAGAGGAATGTTATGTGTGAGAGAGTCAACAAATGTAATTGGTTTGTCAACTTCAGGGTTATACAGCTAATGAGCATCTGAGGCTGGATTTGAACTCAGATCTTCTTGACTCCAGGTCTAGTCTTTTGCCTGCTGGGCCACCCACCTGCCTTTAAGTAAGCAATAGAATCAGGATTTGACTCAAGGTCCTCTGTCTCCAAAGACATTATCACTGCCTCTCTCATAGGAGCCTAGAAGAGAGTCTAGGGCTCAATATATTAGACTCAGAAGTTACTTGAATAAAGGTGATAGTTGAATTCTTGAAGGTGAATAAGTTTAGTAGGGGAAAGAGTGTATAGAATGAGAAGAGGAGCAAGGGTAGAACCCTGAATGACTTTAAAGTTTGGGGAAGATGAAACCCAGGAAAGGAAACTGGAGGAGGGGTGAGGGTGTTAGGGGGAGTAATAGAAAAGGTATCTCAGAAGCCAAGGGAAGAGAGAGTATTCAGTAGGATTGCTGGTCAGTAGGTGTCAAAGGCTGCAGAGAGGGTAAAGAGAATGAAAACAAAAGTAAGGTTCTGGGGTTTGTGGATTAGTTGGTCACTGGTGACTTTGGAGAGAACGGTTTCAGCAGAGTGGTGGGGACAGAACCAGAATGCAAGAGGTTGAGAAGAGAGTGGGTGGTGAGCAAAAACAGTAAGATCTCAAGATTTTAGTTGTGTGGATTATGTTGAAGCATATAATTTTCCTTGATTAATTTTAGTGTAGCATATTTTAAAACACTGTTATGGTAGGTTTATAAGTTTTTAACCAGCTTGTGTTTATGTATATATTTTTCTATTAGTAGAACTAATTTTTGAAAGTTCAGATTGCTTATTCTCTGTGGAGATTATTAGTACACATGGTATCAAGGTCATCACTGAGATTTCATAGCAAATTCAGAGATACCCCTTTCCAAGACTACAGTGTGCCAACTTCAATTTTTAATCTGAAAGCATTTCCTGGTCAATTCTTCTTAAATTCAGATTCTCTGAAATGTGTCTAAAAACTGTTTATCAATAGGAAAAGCTCACTGATTCGTAATAATTAGGACAAAGACTGTTCTGATTTACACACTTTAAAAAATAAATGGTCTTCATTATTTTCAAGTACATAAAATAACATGAACAAGCCTAACCGAGTGTTGCCAATTAAAAGTCCTGATGGACAAGCTTTAAGAAGTGGAGATGAGATTCCTTCTAGACTAAACCCTGAGAGGGCAGGAATTTTGTCAGACTCATTTTTTTATATCCCTTTCAGTGTCTAGCATAGTGCCTTATGCTACTATACCAAGGGCAAGAGATAATCTTATTGTTATTTATATAAAAATTGATGCTGCTGAAGTGTTTTTTAAAGGTGCTAGAAAATTATTTTTTCAATTGTAGAATAAACTTTATCCCTTAAAATACTGTTTGTACTATTAATCTGTTAGGCAAATGCTTTATTTCATAGAGAGTTAGAAAGGTAAGTTTCAGGTCAACTCACATCTGAAATATGGTGGATTCCAAATTAGTAAAATTCAAATTAATGATGTTTTTCTGTACTGGTATGGTTTTTGCTTTTTCTTTTCTTTTTCTCTGGACAGAGTACAGATGCAGTGCTCTGGATTCTAATCCTTTGTCTTATATTTTGATGCATATTTGTTCTTTGCTTAGATATTTAAATACATAGGACTTTTATCATTTTCTAGGTGATTAACATGCATTTATTTGTCCATAAATAGCCACTCTCTTCTCTCTCCTAGTTATCAGGTTGTTATGAAAATGCAAGGTAGTATTTCAGCAGATGGCTAAATTTAATTTTTTTTTCTTTTTACAGTTTCACAGAAAAAAAGTGTTAAGAATTGTTCTTAACCACTTCAGACTCCAGAGCGTGAAGGTAATATTCATGGAATATTCTTTAGCATATATGAACGTCTTCAAATGTTATATGATGTTTGGGGTCCTTCATTCATTATCTCATACTGAACAAGCCTTTGGCAGGGTACTCTCATTGACTATGTCTACTAGATTATTCTACAGAATAATCATAATATCTATTATAAAATGTTTTAAGGCTTGCAAAACATTCTCCATATATTATCTAATTTGAGTATCTACAATCCTCAAAGGAACACATTTAACAATTTCTTATTTCAAGTCCAAGTTGAGTAGTATTTCCTTCTTCCTTTTCTTCTTTGGAATAGCTCTGTCTTTCTTCTTATTTTCATTAATTTAGGACTCATACATTTATACCTTATTTATTTTCATTTAAATGGAAATATTAGCATGGGGCCAGGGCTGTGCTGGAGCCAGCTCTAACAGGCTTACAAGATGTGATTGTTAAATTTTCAGTGTATGCATTTACCCCTCTGAAATCAGCAATCAGTACAAATCAAGGCTTAATTTATTTTTTGTTGATTGTCTAGACTTAAGAAAGTGTTAATAATGAAGATTAAACTTAAAAATGTGTACATATATTTCTTCTCTCCCCCACACCCCCAGGAAAGCTGAGTTGTTAAACCTTCATTCACTAGCTTCCCCCCTTACTGCTCTATAAACTTTGCTTGAATTCAGAATGAGTGCCATAGAAAGCTCAGAGAATGAAGTCATCACCATAGTGAAGGTCTAGTCACTCTAAGCTAATCATAATAATAATAGATGATATTTATATGGTACTTTAAGGTTTGCAGAGTGCTGTTACATTCATTATCTCATCTGAGCCTCTTAACATCCTTGCTTACAGTCAAAAAGACAGTACCCAATCTTCATCAAACAAGAAAGGGAGAGAATTAAAACAAACCATAAAAGAGGGATAGAAGTATTCAGAAAGCGACAAAATGCCCAATTAAATCAGTTTAGATCAACTTGAATGGCTATCAGTGACCAGCAGGCCAGAATTTCAGCTAGCAGTGGTGAAGATCACAGTAGACTTATGTGGCTGAACTGTATAGAGAGCTCACAAGGATTGAAGAAGGATCTATAGACAAGAGGAGGATGTAATTACTTTGCTTCTTATATGCATGGTTAGACCTTCCAGCTAGAATAGCATGGGAGGGTAATTTATTATAGAGGAGTAAATCACAGATTACATTGGAGGGGGGTGGGGTGAGGAGATTCAGTCATCCCTTTTGTGAATATATACACATAAGCATGTGTGAAAGCTTGTTTTTAATTTCTTTACACCAGAGCACACCTCCAACATTCCATTTAGCAGGGGGATATGCAAATTGTTCCAAATGCAGCAGCAGCAGCCCTTTCACCTGAATGTCAAAACTGTCAGGGAGATTTAAATCAAATCTCTAGAACAGTTTTCTAAACCAGCCAGCCCAAAGATTGAGGTACCAACCCACAGCAAAAATTTCTTCCCCCCACTTCAGAAAAGCTCTCATGTTTCAACAGGCTAATGTCAGAGTCCTAATTCATCTGCTTTCTAATTTTAACCTTTTAAGGGTTTTATTTTATTTGACTTAATTATGGTATTTTCTACAAATTAATGATAAATGCCTTGATTAATAAAACCAAATGTCAGAGAAAATGACAACTTGATGAAAAATTAATACTCGGCAGTATTTTAAGGTACAGAAGTACTAAGGATGTACACTCCAAACCTTGTCTTTATCTCATCAGTTCTGTATGTAGCAGGAAAAAAAATTTCACTGCTCCTCATTTTCCTCCCACTATGTATGTAAAGTCTACACTTCCTTCCCTTGTCACCTGTGGCAGGAATAGGACTTAAATTGAGATAATTCTTTTGGATAACAATGTAGTACACAGAACACCTTTTACTTTTTCATCCTGAAAATTCAAGCTGGTGTATCTGTGGAGTTTGTTTGTAAATGAGGCTATCATTCTATGAACCATATTGGCCAGGTTTTGAAGAAAGAATCCATGACATAAAGTGTAATAATTGGTGATCAGATCTCTGACTTGTAGCTTGTTCACAGTCCGTTAAGATGCGCCTATTTCAGTTCTTGCATTTTAAAACTATTTAGTAAAATAATAAATCCACATGGAGAACTTAGCCTTTCACAGAAAAAGAGTTTGTTGAAATGAAAAATTTGCTATTTTTGTAAATAGTTTCTTTCAAGGTCTCATAAAATAAACAGCCTAAGATTTGGTTGGAATACAAATATAAAGCTGTAACTTGTAGATTTTCTTGAATAATGCTTGGTAGTCAGACAAGCTAAAGTACCAATGAAATATGTTTAATTTTTGAATGGTATGGGGGAGGAGAGGAAAAGATGCCTTAGCTTAAGCCCTTATTCCATCATCACCATTAAATACAAGGATGACTTTGGAGTGTATATGTCATAAAATCTGAAGACTGCTGTTTCTGAAATATGCAATGAAGATTTGACAAATGCCCTGTTGACCTTGATTGGTTTACGCTGCTTTTTTGGGGGGAATATATTTTCTAGAACATTCCAGGTAAGCCTACCTGGTATTGTTTTGTGTTTTGGTTATCATTTAGTTGTTCAGGGATAAAAAGCTCGTAGAATAAACCATCAGTTAAATGGACTCACTTAGACCATCTGTTCAGAAACTGACAGGATTGCCATACTTACCTACCTACCTATCAGCATTGCTCCTTGCCAACCAATGTTAAAATCCTTATTTACTGCAATATGCAGAGTAATCCTAGAAAGGGAATATTAGGAGTATTGCAATGTATAGTAAGATAAATAGTGATAAGGGTTCATCAGCAGCCTGTAAGCACAGTACATGCCAGTCCCAAGAAGAAAGTCTTATTCATGTAGAATTGCTCCTTATATTTAAAATTGGAGATGGATTAGGCAGAACATTCCTTTGGCTGGCTCAATATTTTACTCTTTTTCTACCTTGTTTTGTGTCCAAGCACCCAGTCTGTACTGGCATTGCTGCTTTATGGGAAGAGGGCCACCCCCATTGCTGCCATGACTGCTTACATACCTGACATGAATAATGGCACAAGGCACTAGTTAATCATTACATTGCAACTTTGTCTTTTCCTTCGCTGCTGATCACTGCCCAGGGCATGTGGGTAACCGCACTTAGGCTCGTAACACAAAGTTCATCTTTCTATGTCCATGCTAGGGTTTATGGTCATTCAAATGCACGTCGTTCTTGTGCAGATTCTATACAATATGTCTATCTGTGTTTTATTTCCCACCTATTTTGTTTATATAAAACCCCTATTGTATTATACCTCTGGAAGTAAGTCAGTTCTGTGGGTTATGTATTTTAAAAAAAAAAGAAATTATACAGCTTGGCTAAGATGGTCATAACATACTTATTGCTATCGATTTTGTAAGGTTTTTAGTTGGGATTTGGGTTATTTTGGCTAAGTATTCCAAGAGAATCTCACCCATTTCTCAAAAGGCCTATGATTCTATGCAGAGGAGAAAGAAAGAATTAAATTTAAGGTCTTTTCTAAGAGAATTTTGCTTGGCAATAAATTTATTGACTCCAGAAAAAAGAACTGCATCAGCTTTGCACAGCTTGAACCTTTTGTTCCAAGGAGTTGAGTTATGGTATTTCAAACCTGATGCTTGGTCTGCTTACAGACAGCAATCAGCTGGTGTTCTTTGGACAATCTGAGTCTTATTGGAAGTTAAACTGTGACTGCTGGACCCTCATATTTAAAGAGAACTCCATCTCAGCCCTGTGCAAATGCTTCCTTCCTCACAGCCTCAGAAATTTACTGGAAATGTTCGACTACTCCCGGGAATTAGATATTAACGAACACCTCACTTATGATAAACATCCTACACATATTTTAGTCATGTATATATAGTCATTTTGGAAATGTTTTATCCAGAAAGCTGACTTTTCTCTCTCCCAATTTTCTAACACTGACCAAATGTTCAGTAAATATTTGTTGGTTTGATTTGATTATATGAGTCACCTAAAATAACCTTGGCTGCAGGGATCTTGAGAAAGAGTTTTGGCTACTTAAAAGGGCCCTAAGTGAATTACTGTGTTTCATATGAATAAAAGTTTGAAGTTTGATTAGAATAAAGTTCAAGACCAATTTTAACTCCTGAAAAGCTAACATCATGTAGTCTTATTAAATGCCCCTCAGAATGTATTTATTTTTCTGGAGATAAATGAGTTCAGCATTTCAACAACTAATAATTGAACCATATTCTCTCTGTATGTGGTTCCTTGGCTTAATGTCAGGTACTTTCAGAAACTATGTTAACCCTTTCATGTTCCTGTAGTGCTATATTCTACAAGCTGTTAATTCAGTGCATTCAATGGCTGTCATTGACCTGAAGCAATTGATTGAGATTTCAGAAGTGCTTAATGTAGAATTCAAGTACAAATAGAAATCTGATTCATTATGGAGTAGTATTCATTTTCCTAAGATGGTAGAGTTTTGTGTTTGTTTGTTTGTTTGTTTATTTTTTAGCCCTGACCTGTTATTACTTTGGGGTAGGGAACAGCTGGTACACACCTGTAATTCCTATGTAACTTAGGATCCTAGAGACTTTTCTGAGGCCCCAAAGGGACTGAATAATGGTCATACAGCTAGTATGTGTCAGAAGTAGGACTTTAACCCATGACTTTCAGACTCTCAAACACATGCCATGGGTCTACTACTATGTGGTGTCCAGCTGCCTCTCAAGTTTGTTTGCTGTAATATAATAGGCAGCTTCAAGGTAATCTATGCTTCTAAAAGGAAGGCAAAAACTCGTGCAAACAGTGCAGAATTTTTGTATCGCTTTCCTATATGTTGCTTCCCCCCAAGCCTGTGTGTTATTTAGGGATTGCATAAATAATTTCCTTTCCTTTTATTTACTTTTGAGGAAGAACAAATTCTATTTTCCTTTGCAAGTAGCATTATTTTCGTGTTGCTTAGCACACCTTAGTAGTTCCCAGTTAATTTGTGAATATCAGAATTAGAGAGAATCTGAT